TAAAACTAGAGTGTTTTATATATTATACTTGTATCAAAGACACGCTATATTGTTTTGCTAGTTTTACAGCTAAATAAGTTTGATATCATATTGAATAAATTCGTATGACTTTTATTTTAAATTTTCTTTTTTTTTGTTCTGAGAGKAATGATGAATCATAGGCGTGCGCAGGGGGTATGCAGGGTATGCAGCTGCATACACTGAAGTTCTTCGAGGGGCGAACATCGACTCTGGAAAATTGAAACATCCAGTTATCAGTTATCAACTACCAAGTATTTGTGAAATACATACTTCTTATATTATGTAATGGTATTTATTACAATATTTTTTTTAAATTAAACAGTAGGTTTTTTCAATATTTGTGAATTGTGTATACATATTATCAGAATTTTACGAGCTAATAACTTTCAGGGCGCGCTATTGTCAGCCTTCTACATATCCTGAAAAAGAGGCTTGCGCACGCCTATGTGATGAATGGATTGGTTATATAATTCTGTAAATGTGAGATTTGTTGTGTATTTCATCTTATTACTGTTCTACAGTAAAATTGCTTTATTCTTAAACTTTTAAGGTGGTTTCTGGTTGAAATAAGTATCTATAGATAATATTTGGGCTTTATTCTTTTATTATAGTGTTTAGTATAAGAGAATTGCAAAATCGTTTTTCATGAGGTGTGCTAAATAGAGTTGTCATTTTTTTGTTTTTCAACACAGTGAGGCAGAAAGATTAAAAAAATACTATTTTAGTTATACTTATTGTAACTAGATACATATAGTAAATAACGAATGAAAAAATTGAAAACCGAAATTATATCTGTATTACCCAACTTGTACTATKTATTTATTATATGAGTGGAATTGATACATTTTACCTCCTAGGTTTCYAACAGTCAGCGGTACATCAAGGGAATCAACCTATTTTTTTTTTTTGCAATAGCGTAAATATAATAATATTATAAATGTAACGATATCATCTATTATAAGTTGAAAAAATCCACGTATCTAAACAATTGAAAAATTGCTCAAATATAAGGGTTCGGTACCAATGTAAAATGCACATTTTTTTCGAGAGCTTATTGTGGTTTTGTTTAGATGACACAGCATTAAGAATTAGAATTGTGAATTATTTATTTTTGGGAATTTGTCTCACTTTTTAGATACGAGAATAAATTATATAAAAAGTTTCTAAAGTTCCTAACAAAAACTGTGATTTATTCATTAGTAAAATATTATAAGCTACCCATTGTTGTTATTCAAATACTATGATTCATAACTAGCTCCGGAATAATATTAATTATAGCTACCGACTACAAACCAAAAGTTTTTGTGCATACGATTTGTTTTAAATTTATTTAAAATGCAATGATTATGTGAGGAGAAGGGACCAAACATCTTTTTTTCTTTTAAATCGAGAACTAGGGATGATATACTGACGTCAGTAACTTCACCCTCTCTCCAACAGAAAGTTCGTTTATTTATAAGCTATATAATTCATATTATTATTTAATGATCATACGTACAATAATAATATATCTGATAAACACCCTGGTATCTATAAATCGTGACAAATACTCGCAGCCAAACGAAGAAGAGGAAGTGCATCAACAAAGTATTAGTTGGACATCGATATACGGCTATTTCTTATCTACGTGTTAACTTTGTCATATTTTCTGAACAAACTGAATAAATTGTTATAATGTTTCCATTCTGTATCAAACTAGATACCTACCTATATGCAATTCTTCAAAGTGCCATTCCTCAGATTTATGGCGATAAGATTAATAATATCATTTCTTGTTCAGTGTCATTTTAAAATTGAA